GGCAGGCTGTCCTATTTTCTTGGCATAGAGGTTCATCACATTTATGCAGGCTTGCTCCTCAGCCAAAGAAAATACATCTTAGAGTTGCTTCAATGATCTGGCATGGTCGAGGCTAAATTACTTTCTACTCCCTGCACAGCTTATCAACTCCTTCAAAGTGTTGCATATATGTCTCCGGCATATCTTGATCTTGGATTATATAAGAGTATCATTGGCGTACTCCAATACTTGAGCTTCACCAGGCATGATATATCATTTGCGGTGAATAATGTTTCCCAATTTCAGCATTCACCCACTGATGCTCACTGGTCGGCTGTGAAGCGTATTATGCTATATCTCCAAGGCACTCTCACCAAAGGTCTTCTCTTCCAACGGGGTGCCCAACCACAGCTCCATGGCTACTCCGACGCGTCATTTGCGTCCTTCCCACAGGATCGTAAATCTATCACTAGGTATGCAGTCTACTATGGTCCCAATTTGGTTTCCTGGTCCACGAGGAAACAAAAGGCAGTGGCTCGTTCTTCTACGGAATGTGAGTACGAGGCACTTGCTACTTTAGCTTCAAAGGTAATTTGGATTCAATATTTGTCGTTGCAGCTTGGTCAGAGTTGTTCCCATTACCCAGTTCTATGGTGTGATAATCTGGGCGCCACTTACTTGGCACACAATCCTGTTTTTCACACACGTTCAAAGCATCTTGAGATAGAATTCCACTTTGTACGTGGCAAAGTCAACAAAAAATAGCTCCATGTTCGCTATCTTCCGGCTACCGATTAAATTGCAGATGCCCTCATCAAACCGCTCACACGCTTGCCATTCCGCAAGTTTTGCTCCAAGTTTCACCTCTTCGAGATTCCACTTGCGGGGGCGTGATAGAAGATAATTATCTCCTTGTATTTAGACTTGGAAACAGTCAACAATACTCTGATTTTCTGTTCATGTATTCCAACCTCTGTTCCTCCTTTCTAGCTTTCAGTTTCACCACTTAGCTTAGGATTCGGATCACTCCATGTATTGTATATAGGGGTGTCAGTCAGTCGGTTTCGGTTTAACCGAAAACCGATTTCTCAGTTATCGGGTTAAACCGAGTCGTCCCCTACACCTGCCGACCACCGACCGCGAGGAAAGCTACGGCTAGCCGACCGGCTTTCGGTTTTGGTTCGATTATAACCACAAAACCGATTTTATATATAAAAAAACAACCCCACCCCACCCCATGTTTCTTCTCTCCTTTATTGTTAAATGTTACCTAACAATAAAAAAATAAATATAAAAAGAAAGAGAAGAACAAGCAAGACAAAAAAAACCCTACCCCACTCCACCCACACGTTTCTTATCTTCTTCTTCTCTCTTCTCTTGTTTCCCCAAGAACAAAAATTAAACCAGATCTCTTCTCTACTCTCTCTGCCTCTCCTAGACCTCCAAACCTTTTCCTTTTCCCTCCTCTCTCTACATCTGTGAAGGAGGAGAAGCGGCAGCGGCGTGCGGTTGGCGCTGCGGAGGTCTTCTGTTGCTGTTGTTGAGGTCGACAAGGGTCGCGGGTGGGAGACGGTGGGAGATGGCGCCGGTGGCTGATGGAGCCGTGGAGGGGCGGCGTCGCGGCGAGGATGACTGGTAAGGAAGGGTGGCTGGGGAGTGGGAGAACAGATTTGGCTATTAGGGCTTCTAGTGATGGGGCTATGGGTCGTTTTGGGTGGGGTTGGAGCGGGGTCGTTTTGGGCGGGGTGCGGATTGTTTTGGGGTAAAGGGAAGAGGTCGATTAGCCGGTTAACCGCCGGTTTTCGACCACGGTTAATCGGCTAGCCGAGCCTCTTCTCCTTTGCTCCGACGACCGACCGACGAGAATTGAGAACGGTTTTCGGTTAGCCGAAAACCGGTCGGTTCGGTTGAAACCGTCCGGTTAACTGCTAATCGAAAACCGTTCTGCCACCCCTCATTGTATATAAATGACTTTAATCAGTAATGAGAAGATCAAGAATTTTCCGACAGTTCACAAACGACCCCTAAAAAATGAACTTAGTGAGATTTATTGGGGGTCTGATCTGGCCTCTATCACAAACTCGAATGATTTGGCTCCATGTTGGGCCTAGTATGCACACGACAAACCCACTCAACGAAGCCACAAGTTGACCATTTTCTTACGGGCCGAAGCACCACCACGGGGAAAAATACTAATAAAAGAATGTAAAATATATTTAATTACATACAGGTACTTAGTGAGTGGCTGCATAATTTTAGCCTCAAGATATAGTGCATCAGTAATTAAATCTGGATTCTTCAATCAGAAAATTCAGATCTAAGGGTGGAGAAATAAAGACATTTTTATTTTTTTCTTGTTTTCTTAATCAGCTCATATCTTTTTCGTTTTAACTCGGATTTCAATTTTTTTTGCACAGATGGAATGAGTTCGTTGTGATATACAAAATGAGATCCATTTTCAGTATTTTTTTAGAAGAAAAAAAATTGTGCATCTCGGTACCAACTGCATACCATATGGTATCTTCTTCGTTTTTAATTCGTTTTTGAAAATTTTGCGCAGAAAATATACTTATTCGTTATTAACAAAAAAAAATAATAAAAAAAAATAACACCAATACAACATACATCGTGAATTCATAATCCAAATCCAAATTTCAATATATAAAATAAAAAATAATCAAATATCTTCATCTAATTAGTGAATAATAACTATCGAGACATCAAGCACAAGAATCACAATATAATCAACATTTGTCTCGTAAAAAAAAACAATATAATCAACATCCACAGACATCAATGAACAAAGGCTACTAGCATAGGGTGCGATGTTCGCTCTATCGATTGCAAAGGGGAGTCAGAGAGGATGATTTTTGGTTCTGACTCTTAAACACATGTAAGACTTTTGTGTGGAGACTTGTTTGCAATAAGTGGAAATTGAGATGTCTGACAATTTTGGTTGGTTTTGAACCTTGAGACTTTTTTCCTTATCCAAAGACCAAAAACATGTGGTTATACTAGTAGGTGGTCATCGGTTTTCATATCGGTTAACCGCTAACCGATTAATCGATTAGCGATTAACACCATTAAGAAAAACAACTAACCAAAATCGAACCACTAAAATATTTAACGATTATCGGTCAACCATTAGTTGTAGCCTGTAGTTATCGATGTGGTCATCGATAAAACCAATAACTGACTAACCATTTACCACCCCCGATCTCGACATAACAAAAAAAGAAATTAGGAACATCACAAGAAAAACAGACATTGGTGGATTGAGAGTAAAAGATTAAAAAAAAAAAAGCGAAAGCAGCGCCGCGGCAAAGCAAAGAGGAGGCGGAAATGGAAGAAAAATAAGAAACAAGCCACGTGTAAGCAGCAGCAGCCCCAGTTAAGGAGGGGATGGCACCTGTTGGATACGTGTCATCCATTCGACATCGAGGGCGGAATTGAAAATTCTCACAACTTCCATGCCCTCCCTCAAACATTAAGTAACACAAATACAGGACTAGTGCTCCACTCCACTCCACATCAGCCCCAACCAACCCACAAACTACTCGCCGCTATGTACTACTAAACCACTGTTTGCAAGTAAGCTTTGCCTTTGCCGCCCTCATCGTCACCCCACCCGCCCAGATTCCTACACCCCAAACCAAAACCAAAAACCGCAAAACAAACAATGGCGTGGCCCAACGCGCTCCCCGTTTTGAGGCCGTCTCTAACACACTAATAAGTAGTAGTTAGCTCCTGGGGGGTGGAAAAAGAAATTTGCTTTGCTGTCCTGGTTCTAGTCTGTGGAGCTCGCTCTCTTATCTCCTCCCCAACTTGGTCTCTTCAGATCTCTATAGCAAGCAGGTGATTGACTTTTCTATTTCTTGCTTGATGCTCATTTCAGTTAAGCATAGTATATAATGATCAAATCCAATCACTGATCTTAGGGCGGATATTTTTGCCCTCGTTCTATATATATATGTCAGCCTCTTAATTAGGGTTTGATGAGCAATGCTTTGATGGTGGTGTTTAATTTTAGGGTTAGATTTAAAAGGGGGGAGTCTGGACTGGGCGGGCCAGAGTAGAGTGCTACAAGGGGGAAGGAAGAAGAACGAACTTGGGTTTTTGGCTTTTGCTGCTTTCCTAGCCCATCTCAAGGTCACGAAGCCTGTCCAAGTCCAACTATAGGGGCCGCATAATTGTTGTCTAATCTTTACCTCGTAAACCTAGAAAATCGATCACCGATCCAATTTTACAGACCTCAACAGAAAACCGAAAGAGTAACGGCACAACTTGAATGAATGAAGTATTCATTCATGTCACTCACAGCCACGGCTGGTGCTTTTGATTAGCTAATTATGATAAATTGAATCGTGTTGTGCCAAGTAGGGATGGGCCGTTCAAACTGGGTTAGCCTGTACTTATTGCGCCTAATATTGGGTTTCAGTGAGTGACATCTATAGACTATAGGTAACCAAGTTTGGGCCCGTTGGGGCATATGCTTTTCCTTCATCCGTTCAATATCTTCATTATTATTATTTATTTTTTTTGCTTTTGGCAAGTTTTGTTTGGCTTGTTGGTGAGAGTACTTTGTTTGGTTCGGGTTTTGTCAACATCACGTCCTCGGGATTGTCCCTTTCACGCATTCTGAGGCTGCATACCTAAATAAATGACCCCTATTAGTGACCATCAAATCACATTTTAAGCACCACTGGTGGTAAAAAGTTGGTATTAGGCGTCGTCATCCTCCTCTCAACTGCTCTTGCTTCTGCCTTTCTGGGCTTTTTGTTTTTGGTTTATGGCCACTCTTTTCTTAACCTGGACCCCACACACAGCCCATTATGGGCCCACCACCGCCCCTCTAGACTAATGTAATGCCCCCTTCATCGAATTGATTTCCTTCCCCCTCGTACCTTTCACCCACCCACCCCCACTGTAACAGATCGCTCTGTTTCGCTTTACCTTTTTCTCACTCAAATGCTTCCCTTCCTCCTCTGCCTTCTTCCAGGCTAGCACTACCGGAATCCGCCATGGGAACAACAGACCAAGAAATGAACTCACGCGGCGAGGTGGTGGAGTCGCCATTGCATCTCCACAATTCCAATTCCAACAACAACAACAACAAGAACAGCAACATCCCCTTCACTTCCCTGGGAAGGCAGTCCTCCATCTACTCCCTCACCCTCGACGAATTCCAGCACACCCTCTGCGAGGGCGGCAAGAATTTCGGCTCCATGAACATGGACGAGTTCCTCAACAGCATCTGGACCGCCGAGGAGAATCAGGCCACCGGAGGGGGCGGCGGACACGCCGTCGTTCATAATTCCAACCCGCCCGCGATTTCCATGTCGGCGGGTGTCAACAACAACGGGGACCCGACGGGTTCGGGCGAACCGGGTCGGGGGATCTCCAAGCAGACTAGCCTGCCGCGGCAAGGCTCGCTCACTCTCCCGGAGCAGCTCTGCAGGAAGACGGTCGACGAGGTTTGGTCGGAGATTCACAACGGGAGGATTAACAAGGCGAAGGCGGCGGCGGAGGCGGCCAAGAGCGAAGGGAATTCCAATTCTTCACGGGGAAACGTGCGGAATGCCGATTCTACCCCTCGGCAGCCGACTTTTGGGGAGATGACCTTGGAGGATTTTCTGGTCAAGGCAGGGGTAGTTCGGGAACAACAATGTGGGGCAGCAGCTGCTGCCGCCGCCGCGGCTCCGCCTCTCCTTCCACCTCAACAGCAGTCGCAGTACGGGATGTACCAGTCCGGCGGCGGCGCTGTCGCGGCGGGGTTTCTTCCCCGGTCGATCGGAAGCGGTGGGGCGGTGGGTAATTACCAGTCGGTCCTTCCACAAACTGGTGGGCCCATGGGAGAATCATCCGGAAGGAACGGTGGTTACGCGCCGCAGCAGCCTCCGCCGCCGCCAGCAGCTGTTTACGGTGGGAGAGTAGGGAATGGAATCGCCGGCGGAGGGGGTTATGCGCCGGCTCCACTGGTGGGGCCTGTTAGTCCAGTGTCGTCGGATGGGATGGTGGCGAATGTGGATGCGGTGGGGAATCAGTACGGGATGGATATGAGTGGGTTGAGGAGCCGTAAGAGAATAATTGATGGGCCGGTGGAGAAGGTGGTCGAGAGGCGGCAGCGGCGGATGATCAAGAATCGAGAGTCCGCGGCCAGGTCCCGTGCTAGGAAACAAGTGAGCGTTTCGACTGATGGGTTTGGGTTGTTCGTTGTGTGTGTTGTAATTGTTGTGTTCCGATTGTATGCTGATCATCGAGAATTGCAGGCTTACACGGTTGAGCTGGAGGCAGAACTGAACCAGTTGAAAGACGAGAACAAGCAGCTCAAGCAAGCACTGGTAAAGATCTTTCATCACCGTTTCATTTTTTGGTGGTGGCCTTTGTTTGATGTTATTGTCTTTGTTGGTTGACCAGGTTGAGCTAGAAAGGAAAAGAAAGCAACAGGTAACATTTCTTATGAACTTTGTTTCGAGTGCTGTGGTTTTGATGATTTGATCGTGTTGCGAGTTATGTGAATCCGGTTGTTTGGTTGTTGTGATGCAGTATGTTGAGGAACTGAGGACGAAGGGACAGTCGAAGGCACAGAAGGCCAGGGAGAGGCTGAGGCTCATGAGAAGGAACCTCAGTTGTCCGTTGTGATATCACTTGGTGGCGACATGGAAACCCGTTATGAGTCCTTTATGAGTCTGCGGCCGAGAGCTGGTGCACCTGCGGGGTAAGTTTCGCAGCCGGTGGTGCACCTGTGGGAGAGATCCGGTGCAGATCAATGACGAAAGGAAGAGATACACTTGCATTGTGAAAGCATTGTGAGAGGTCGAGAGGTTGTACAACGGGTGGCTCCAGAGACCAGAAGGATGGACAAAGAGTCGAAGGCATGAAATGTAGCCTAAGCTTCATTCGAAATGCTAATGATTGTAGTTTTTACTTTGAAGAAACTTGTATCATCACCATAGGAGTTAGCTTAATCACCCAGCGGCGGTGCATCGAGAACTGGATATAGAGCTAGTGAATTTGTTTTGACGAAGGAAAGTAAAATAAGTTTAGATGCTTGTTTGCTTAAAATGGTGTCTGCTAGCCATTGCTCATATTATTCATTTCTGGAGTTAGGTCGAGTGATCTGGCTACGTCGAGGCGAAGATAGTTGTACCGGGAGCGAATTTGATCTTGGTTGACAACTAAAAGACAGAGCAGGGTAAAATGGAGATCCATGTCTAGGCGAGTGAGACTCATCACTCAAAAGTTTGCTCGAGGGGAGGAAAGACATGCTAGAATTACGAAACAGCTTGCTACATCAAATGTGAGACTGATCACTCAATGTGGTTTCTTCCATTATGCCTTCAAATGTATAGCACCAACACAAGCAGCTAAAGGAAACGAAAGAATGCATATATTCCAGTTTGCAGCGAGGATGCAGCTCATAACTTGCAAAAGAAGAGATGATTACACACACGTTCAGTTAACTTGCCTTTACAAGACGAATCTTACAAAGCCAAAGAACTACTTGCCTTTACATGTATCCAACCGTTTTTCGTATAGAGCCCCGATCAAACAACCGACACAAGTTTACAGATGACAGGATAGTCGCACTGTAAGCATCTCTGACAGCGACCATATCGAAGCTCCTATCGGCTACTGGTACTTTGCGTCACTGCTGGTAGAAGTCGTCATGAAAGACTCGCCGCAGCCACATTGGCCCTGAGAGTTTGGATTGATGAATATGAACTCTGACCTGCACACAAAGGGAAACCAGATACATATGTAATTCCAGCGGGAAAATCCGGCAACATGGAAGACAAGGAGAGGCAGCAGTATGTGAAATCCACACCCACAGCGTACCTAAGTTTGTCATCAACGAAATCCATCTTTGTTCCAATCACATGCATGAGAGCCTTGGGATCAATCAGTACCTTCACGCCCTTCTCATCAATCAACTCGTCGAATTTTCCTTTCTCGTCTGTTCAAATTATCAACAAAAAGCAAAGCAACATATATCCTTTCATTTTCAGCAACTTCCTTCGTTGGAACATGAACCACAAGTATACAAGGCGCAGCAGCAGTGGAAAACAGAAGAAGGACCAGATCTCCATGGTAGCAAGCAGGATATCATGAACTATTACCTAGCTAATCACGGAAGCAAGAACTGTTCGATCAAAGCAGCCAGAGGTAATAAGAAGGAACTGATCATTGAGCAAGTGGTTGCATTTATCAAAGAGTCAGTTATGAGTTTTCCACATAGGCATCAAATCAAATCTATGATTCACTATTAGTTCTAGGAATTCCACAGGACGACCTGCAACAGATAAAAGGAAATTGGTAGAGAAAAGGGAGGTTCGATTCTACACCATAGATTTCCCCCTTCTCCGAAGAAAAGGATAATCATCATATCACAGCGAGATCCAGAGCATGTCAACAATACCAATTTCGACTTTCTGTCTCAAATGGTAGAAAATATCGGAACCACGTTAAAGCGCAACCTAAGATCAGGGCGAAATAAAGCAAGAGCTACAAGAGGAGATCGAAGAAGGAGAGTGGCAGCAGCAACGCACCTGCGTAATTGAGCGTGTAGGACAAGCCGTTGCATCCGCGAGCTTTGACGCCAAGCCGGAGGAAAGGCCGCTGCCGCTGCTGCAAAAGCTGGCGTATCCTCGACGCCGCCGCGTCTGTTAACGACACGGCCTGCCTCCTCATGGCGGGGCCGATCTTCTGCGCTAAGGATTTTGATGCCATGGTCGTTATTTGTCCCGATTTTGCCTACACTCCAAAGGAAGACGAACTGGCTTTATCTTCAACCTAAGGATGAATTCGTCACGAATTTCTGGTACGGCCACCGTGATAATTGTCAAAAAAAAATTTGGTCGGAGGTGCACGAAACAGAGAAAAGAAGACAGCTCCCGATATTCCAGGAAAAAAAAAATACACGGTTCTGGGAAGTTCTTCTTCTTCTTCCAAATTTTGTGTGCTCCGCTGCTACATCCTGGACTTCTTGCGACTGGATCCAAGCTTTGGGCCCACAATATTGTCCCATGAAGCCCATCTGTTACGGGCCTTGGTAGTCCATAAAGTCCTATTTTTGTCGTCCTCTAGTTTTTTTTTTCTTTTTCTGGAGTTTGACTTTGTTTCGTGGTTACATTATTGACAGAATAAATAAAGTTTGTATGTCAGTATGTGGATCTTCAACTCCTCACAATTGGTGGAAACACATGTTTGTTAACGGTTTAGAAAAGGTACTGAATCGCTATTTGTCGTCCTAAAATTCAAATTTTATCGCCCTAAAATGTACCAAATTGACACTCTTACCCTCCGATCCCTGCTAATCCTCTGTCTTGCGGCCGCTGTTGTCACTGTCAAAATTTTCTATCGGAGCTGCCCACCTCAACCCGATCTCCGCCGTGCTTTGCTTCTACTGTCGGAGTCGATCCAAGCAGGAGGAGGAAGAAGAGTATATATGACTAAATTCCAAAAATGACAAAATAAAAGTAAGCCTATTTCTCAAGTTCCCTTGCACGAGCTTTGATGGTGATGATGATTCTTCTCTAATTTTGTTTTTTTTTTGGCTTTGTGCAGTTGTCATGGAAGCTGAAATCAGGCAACGGTTGGAATAATTCTCAGTCAAAAGTAATTAAGAACTGTTGGAATAATTGAAAGCAAGGGAAAAAGGGTATACAGACGCGCAAGGAGGCCGCCGCCTAACTCCTCTGTCCTACACTTCTAATGCTGAGAAATTTTCTCTCCGGCCCAATGCCCACCGCCGCTTCCCTACTGCTACTGTCGGATTCTTCTGTACCTAACAAAAGGAAGGACACGAATGAGGAAGAATATTTAGGTTTAGTTTTTTCTATTTTTTTTCCAGATGCCAGACGTGTTGAAACTCTGTCTCCGACGAGCATGGGACGAATTCCTGACCTGTCCCGATGATAAGAAAGAGAGAAGAGACTCGATGGAAGGCAAGGAGGAGGTAGAAGAAGGCAAGGATATTTGAGTAATTTTAATAAAAGTTAGGGCGACGAATAAAATATTTTAGGGCGACGAATAGAAATGCTCAAAAGGTAACGTTGATGGAAAGTGATTAATTTCTTATTAATAGAGAGGTAGTTCATGAAATGATGAATAGTGTGATTAAGATCAAAATTGTGAGAGGATTTTGTGAAATGATTGTTAAGAATATAACTTTAAGAATTCCTTTTTAAAAGGGTAAAGTTGTAAATGAAATTCTTTAGTGTGATGAGTTTAGTTTTAAAAATTTGTAAGTTTTGGACGGATATTTTGGTTGAAGTTTGAGGAAAATATTAAAAATGTGTTTGTACTTAAATTTAAGGAAAAGCTTGAGAAGAAGAAAAGTGGGACAAACACTAATAAACACGGTTTAATTACATTACATTACATCAGCTTAGTTATTATGCTAATTTGAAGATTCGTTAGTATATACTAACTAATATTAAAAATGTATGAACTAATATCCAAATCTGCTAAGTATCTAGATAGTACAGACTAGTATTCAAAACATCACAAATTAGTATCCAGATAGCAGATACCAACTAATATCCACAATTAACCAACTAGTATTCAATATGGATACTCTAATGGGTTATCTGGATACTCTTATGTGTTATCTGGATACTAATTATGTGTTGTTTGAATACTATTCTGTGTTGTCTAGATATTAGTTTGTGAATTTGGGATAATAGTTGATTCATGGTGGATATCAGTTAGCAAACTGATATCAGTTAGCAAACTTTGAATACTTTAGTACTTGGATATTATTTCATGTATTTTAGATATAGGTTAGTATCTGCTAACGAATTTTCAAGTTAGCAGATTAACTTTCCCCACATTACATGCCACTTAAGTTTTACTCTCATTAAATGTTGGTCACTTATTTTTTGTTGTTGGAACTAACGTAGTTAAGTCCCAATTTCATTGCACCGTTGTCGTCTCCATCCAAAAACTTAAAGAAAGTAATTATACGCATGTTGTGAGGGCAATTCAACTCAACCTAAATTGTCGAGTCATCAAAGCAGAAACTAAACTTAACGAAAGTAATTATACATGTTGTGAGGGCAATCCAACTCAACCTAAATTGCTTAGTCGTCAAAGCAGAAACTAAACTTGAAGGGGAAAAAGAAACTCAATCAGATAATCAATGGGTAGAAAGCTCGAATGTCACATTACCTTCGTAAGCTCTGATACTGTCTTTCTTACGAGTATACAATGGATAGAAAGGGCAACCACTTTACATATCCCAATAATAGGTTCAACCGTAAAATCGACTCAAACGTGATAGTAATTGAAAACAAACTCGAAATAGTTACTTGAACGGTTGTTTCCCTCTCTGCAAGAACAAGAATATCAACATAAGAAATGACACCAAGACATGTTTCTCCATCTCAACAACATCTAGTAACATAGAGGCATCACATCTACGAAAATCAACAAAGCCTTTTAAATCAAATTGGGACAATGAAAAGACCAGAATGAATAAAAGTGAAAGAATTTCACTACAAATACTATCATTTACTTGGATCAAAATAAAAAGGAAATATTCAATTGCTCCTGCGTATCGGGCATCGGCAAAGGAGCTGCCTCCCAATTGCTTCATCGGGGGAGCCCAAATACGGAGACTACAACCAGCGGCGGATCCAGGATTGGGTAGAGCACTGGGCCACATTGGAAAAAAGTAGAGAAGGCTGGGCCGTAACACGACAAACACTGGAACGAACACCTAACGAACACCAAAAATAAAAAATTTACACGTGCTATACTAGCTCTGGATCGAGGGAGGGCTGGGCCGCGGCCCGGGGGCGGCCCCCCCTAGATCCGCCGCTGACTACAACATCAAAATCGGTGACACCATCCCTAACATAAGTACATAACCTATCCAATAACTCGAGTTGTTGGGAGAGTTTCAATTGTAGATTGAGGTTTGGAGTGTAGACAGACATAGGTCCGGACACCGTGTGCTTAACAGAAACAAATGGAGTCACCGGGAATCGAACAGAAGACCTCACGGTCATAGAAGACTCTGATACAGTGATACCATGTCAATAACCAGTTACTCCCAATAACTCAAATTATTGGGAGAAGTTCAATCGTGATCATATACCGTTTAGTAACATCAACATCTACTACAAATCATGGCAATCCATTTGTCAAATCTCTTTCCCCCACTACGTCATTCATGCATCCAAGACGGATAACGCATCCCTAAACTCGCCGGTGAATTGGAGTCGGCTCAACAAAACTATATGTCAGATTCTCCTGACATCAGTATGCAATCTTGATAGGGGCAAAGAAACTGAACCCTGCCCCCGATCTGCCTGTAAGCAGTATACAAAAGATGTTGCTGCGTTTGGCTCATCCATGTCGTTACAGCTTAGACCCCGAGGTGGGGCGAGCTGTAACAGTAAGAGATGCGGCGATGGACTATCTAGAATTTCTTCCTGGTTCTGGCCGGCGGTGGATCTCCGGCCACCACTGAGTATGGTAAGCCCACCTGACCGCTTAGACGGCAGCCAATGGCAAGGCCGTTACGGAGAGAGACGTTCGAACTTGCGTTTCGGATTCGGAATCTCCTGGTACCGGTCTCGTAACCGACTAAAGATCACGAAAGATTCAGTCCTGCCGTTGGAGAAACAACCTCCTCGCTTTAGAATCCCAAACCATCCGGGTCAGATCCGGTGCTTAAGCCTAAAAACTTAAGCATATGCTTAAAGCTTTTCTATTGGCTAAAATAATTTTAGTTTGTTTATGGTAGGTTATTAGTTAGGTAGTTAGTAAGGGTAAACTAGGTATTAAGGGGGGAAATAATAGTTAATAGAAAGAGAAATAAAAACCTAACATATTTTTCCATATCCTGCCGTCCGCCAAAAGTGACCAGATCACTCCACCGCCATCCCTCCATTATTCCATCCTCCACCTCCTCCGCCATCCCCGCCACCGCGGAGACCCCTTTCCTCCACCACCAAGTGCATCATCGGCGGCCCCTTTCCTCCACCACCAAATGCATCATCGAACGACACCGTCGTCCCCTCGTCGAACCCGGGCCTAGCCGCCGCTGACAGCGAGTAATTCATAACCTCCTGAAACAAACCGTCACCAGCATCCTGACAACACAGAGTGTCGCCCTTCACGCCGCCATCCCGCCGCTATCCTGACGGAGCCCACGTCCTGCGAACGTTCATCATTTATTATTTACGTATCATAACAATGGTTATGCATAGCGTTACTGATACGTCGCTAAAGTGTTGATAATTATAGTGCATGATATTGATAATAACTCATAGTATTTTATTGACGGGTGTATTAAGAAAAGTTAATAACAGGTGATTATTAACATTTTCAATGATTTTTTATGTTGCTAATATTGTAAATAATAGTTTAATATTAATACTAATCATTTGTTTTGTTAAATATTAATGATGCATCCCAGAAACATTGATAAGAGAACATAAGATTGTTAGCAATGGACTCTTAATCTTTGAATTATTGGTAAATGTTAAATTTATATGATTTACGGAAAAAAAATGACGATATACCATTAGCAATATTTTCATAAGTAAATAATTATTAATATAGCATTAATAATGATTTTGTATTTTGTTAATGATACATCTCATTAGTATTGATAATATTGTATCAGATTGTTAACGTTGAGCCTAAAAATGTTAATATTTAAAATTTTCATTATTGTTAATGCTAATAACAATTACATTACATCAAGGTTGATAACATTACATTATATCATTAACAATGAGTCTAAAACCATTAACAAACAACAACAAAATTATTTATGAGAAGATGATAATGATTTTGTAATAACATTGATAATTCAAGCAGAAAAGTTGGTAACATTACCTTTGATTGATAACAATAATAAAAACATATAATACACTTTATC